ACTCAGAAAATGATTTCCTGGATATTCTAGTCTTCATGTGGAGGAGAGAAAACTGGTATGACAGTCAGAGAAACTCATCAACAATATTGTCATTAGATATTTATTTAGATAATTTTTTGTTTCATGGTTTTCTCCCCTCGCAATACTGTAAGTTTCATGAAGGCTGGAACCATGTATTTCCTGCTCACTATACTCACATATGCAGAATGTGTGGTCTGTAGTGCCTGGCACATGATGGGCATTCTTGCATTTATTTATTCCTCATTAATATATTTGTATATATTTACTAAAGAACAAAATGAATCAAAAAGTTTTGTAGTGACTTTTAAAAAATTGTTTTCTTAGCTGATTTGGCAGTGATATATTCTCATAGATGGAGTGTACAGTTGTTAGTTAGTCTTACCAAGCATTTATGCTGTATCAGTATCCATCTGCTTTTGTTGCCATGAAGACATGGTCTTTAGTTGCGGGAGTCTGTACTGCACTTCTGAAGGAAATGCTGCAACTTTCTCTGGGAGTCCTTAAGACAGGAGTGGCTGTGTATTCCAATATGGTCTTTAGTAAGTTTAAGTGAGAGGCTCGGGAACTGACATAGCAACCTTTCAGTTCCAAAATGAAATGTTTGCTGTCAACGAAGTGTGTTCAGAAACTGTTTGCCATTGTTTTAAATGTTCTTGTAGTATTGATTTGATTGACAGTCATGGGGAAAAGTCATGTTCAAATGCTAATAAATNCAAATTTCAGGTGGTGTCAGTGTGATAGTATTAAGAGGTGGGGCTTTTAAGAGGTGATTCGGCCATGAGGGCTCCTGCATTGTGAATGGGATTAAAGCCCTTTTGAAAGAGGCTTCACTGAGAATTCCCTGGCTTGCCCTTCTGCTTTCCTCCATGGGAGAACACAGGGATCCTCCCTTCTGGAGGGTGCAGCCCTCACCAGACAACTGAACCTGTTAGTGCCTTGATCTTGGACTTCTTACCCTCAAGAACTGTGAAAGATAAACTTCTGTTCCTTATAAATTACAGGGTCTGTGGTACTTTGTTATAACAGCACAAATGGACTAACAGAGGGTGTTGGGGAGGACNTGGAAGTAACAGAATACAAGACATTAAGGTGTAAAAAAATCTCACATAAGAGATCTGCAGGTAGGCAGTCCCAGGGGTTAGTTAGCTCAGGGCTCGTAGGTGAGTGTTCCAAGTACTTTCCCTTCTGATCTACCGTCCTTGGATGTTGGCTTTTTTGACTTCAGGCTGCTGTGGTTCAGCTTCAAGGCAGAAAGGGAGGGAGGTGGCTCTTTTTGACTTCTCCTTTTGTCAGGAAGCAAAATCTTTTCCGAAACCAGCCAGCAGACTTCCCTTTACATTTTGGTGACCATAATTGGGTCACATGGTCATCCTTAGGAAAGCAGGTATTTATCATTTTTGGCTGCTATCATGGGAGATAGGATTTTCTAAGAAGGAAAAAGGGGATGGAAATGACTCTGAGCAGACAACCAATAGTGCCTTCCACGGTTGCTCTAAAGAAAAATTAATGACATGTCTTTGGCTAGACTGAATTGTGGGGTCCTAGGTGAGACATTTGCCTTTCCGAGCCTCAGTTTCTTCATCTAAAGAAAAATCTCTT